GTGTGTGTGTGTGTGTGTGTGTGTGTTCTGCTGCTTTGTGCTTGGTGAGCTGTTATAGTAATCTCATCAGAAGTATCACCTGCTGGAAACTACACCATGAAAACTGTGAAGCTCTACGGTGTCCGTGTACTTTTTGGTCATTCGATTTTTGTTTTAAAAACAGATCATGAAAAATAAAAATGAATAGTTACTGTGTTTTCCTTTTATGATCCAAAAATGTAAAACTGGTTTGTCTTATTATTTGTCTTAAATCAAAAGTTTACCACTGTCGTCGTTGCAACTCATCGCTGTCCTGTATAACCTGCCGCGTCTTAAAGTTCCTCACCAAGAACCTCATAGTGAACCTCTTGGAGAAAGGCAAAAATCCTCAGAAGCTCAAGGAGATGCATTACATCTTTCCATCCAATTTTAATGTGAATTTTGAGGGAACTTTAAATAGTTGCAAAAATGAAACAAAAAGAAATGTGAATCAGGGGCGTTTCCATTTACTGGCTTACAGCGAATCAACCAGGCGACGCAAAGTGTAATTAAGTCAGTCGATGTTATACATGGCTGTAGTAAACAGGAAGTAGAGGTCGCCAACTGGTAGGGACCACACATCTCACAACAATGGAGAGAAGTTATCAGGAATCTGTTGCTATCAGGCAAGTTGTAGTGGTTCTGTCATACCAACTAGTATTGGTGATGTTACATGCTGTCCAGAGATGTAGAAAAAGAAACGTAATTCTCTTCACGTTGCAGGACTTCACTTATGCTTCTCCATTGGTACTTTACAGTTCACTTCCATTGTCTTCTTGGCTCTACTGAGTCTATCATCAAAACACACTTCCTCCTCTCCAGTCTCACTTTAATCAATAAAAACARCACTGCTGGAAAAGAGACAGATATCTGTAATTCTGYATCTGCAGAGCTTTAACTCAACACCTGTGAGAATGCTTTGTGTTGTTCTGCTCCTTTGCTACGGTTAAGAGATACACAAGAACCTGGAACAAGGGGGTGAGACTTAAGATCACAAGAGCTATCAGATTTTGAGAGAGTTTATAACTTTCCTGTCAGTAAAAAAATGATATAATTTGAGGTATTATTGATTACTTTGTGGACTTGAGCTTAGTTCTGTCTATCCAAGACCTCTAAACAGCTCCGTTGGCACGTAACGTGTTCCTGTTCTGTTTATGTGTACAGGTTTCTCAGTAGTTGTAGGCTGATGTAGACTAATTAATAGCAGTTATTGATTTGATGCTTTCCTGGATGAGGAGGTTTCACTGCAGCCACAGCAGAGCACAGACAGCAGTGCTGACTGAGACTTAACCTCGGCACATGAACACAAACACGCGTCTGCTGCTCCGGTTTTGGAACAGGGAAAAGATGCTATTAGGTTGCCAGCCCACTGTAAATAATACGCTTTATGTGGAAAAGGAGACCGTGTCTACAGGGCAAGTGTACAGTTCTACTAAACAATTAACGAGGTAGGACTTTCCTTTTTTTAGAAACAACGTAAAAACATTTGATTTTTCCAGAGGGTAAAGAGATGTTTCACATCTGTTTTTCTGTATTTCCTACATCTCTGTTATCAGGCAAACATTTTGAATGATGAGGTTTTTGCATCTTTTTATGTCTTCCTGCTGTGCGTGTGGGTGTCTGCTTCATCTCCCAGCAGTAAGACCAGTCCTGCCACATAACTCAAATTAATACCACAGCTGGGACAAAACTCTATTAGGGCATGCAGAAAGGCAYCCACTAGTTTCCCTTTGTGCCACTGCGTGTGTGTGTTTATAAAGATGTCTCGTCTTATGTTGTTGCTAACATTTATTCCTGATGGAATTGCACACCTGTTGAACAAATTCATTTACACACGCGCCGATGTTCTTGTCCAGTTGTTCTGTGTGTTGGTGAGAGTCAGCCTGACGCCCTGCAGAGTGAAAGCATTCCTCAGATTCCTCAGAAGCAAAGCAAAACTGGACTGTGTGCCAACCGTGCTGATGTTCAAGCTTTCATTGCCAGTGATGCAGTTATTTCCTGTAAACTGTTTCCCTTTTGCATGTAAGGAAGTTCTTCAAAGAAAACAAATTGTTTTTGGTACAGGTTTTATGTTTGAATAGTTGTCGCTTCCTGCTTAAAAAAATCCTTTTAGTGAAGAGAGTAKTGATATAAGAAACCATTTGGGACTTGACATCAGTTAGACACAAGTCATAAATTGCCCATGTAGCAGACAGGTGTGGACCAAATCTGGTGTCAAGCTGGCACTGCTGCCTGATTGTTGGCATGGCAAGTGGTTTGCCAACCATGTGGGCCAGGTCTGGTAATGATGGCACTAATTACCTCCCCCAAGGGCGAGGTAATGTTTTCGGTCACGTCTGGACATTTTGTCATGACATTTTCACCACATGTGGGTACTGGGCTAAGGAACACACCTTTAAATTTTGGTGATGTTCCGGATCACGAAGCAGATATAGGAATTTCTTTTCTTTTAACATTATGAGATCGGCAAAGCTGTGATGCTTTCACAGGGCTTCTGTGAAAAACAGTGAGCTGGATTACACAGCACGGACTTCAAACTTTATAAAAGTAATGTTAAAACCACAATTAATGTTGAATATTTTTTGCCATAATATGCGCATTTACAGAACGTTTTGTGACCAGGAAGTGCGTGACTGCACCATGAAACCTATTTTTCCCATTTCCTCAAACACACCACATTCCCGAAACAACCAATCAAAACAGTTTCTCGCTACTAGGCTTGTAAACAGAGAGCTGCCGGGCCTCAAAGTTTGGAGACGGGAAATGTGTTTCCATCGCAGCTTTTGTGCATTAACTCTTACAGGATGGGGAAAATTGGTCTTGGCGGAGGTTTGCACTCTCCGAGTGCTTCTAGTTTTGTGATGGAATGTCACAACTGGCCTGCTTGTGGTTTGGTTTATGTCATCCAAACCTTTTAAAGCCACGAATGGACCAGTTACCTTGTCAAACCAGTTGAACATTTCCATGTACAGATGTCAGGAAACAATGAAGTAAGGACTATTTCTTTAACTAACTACAAACATGTTGCGCCTCATCATGGATTTTCCCTCAGCTTTTCTTTCAGAGGTCACACAAAGATCACACAAAAGTGGCCAGAAGACCTTCAAGTTGAGGCCTGGACTGTCTTGTGGAGCATTTTCTTTTAACCAAATTCCCATTATTAGACAATGTTTTTAAGAGTGCAGTTTTAAAATTATGCAGGGAAAAAAAGTAATTTTTGACATTTAAGTTCGGATGAACAGCAAGTTTTGAGAGCTACAATTAGCAAGAAATTGTATTTAATAAGTTGATATGGCAAACTGAAAAAAAAMCCCTCAAATTTCAAAGTAACAAAACTATATGTTTGCCAAATTCATAAAGTGTTTGTTATACAAGGGAATTTGTCTGAAATTTAAAAATAAATCCTCCTTTTAAAAAAATATCATCCAGCATCATCACGTTTGAACTGGTTTGATCTGGTACTGTGGATTGGYTTTAATTTATCACTTCAAAAATTTAGCATTAAATGTACAAGACACCATTGGTTGGGTTAAACCAGCACTAAGGCCGGGCCACATCCTGATCCCTCATGTATAAACATGATAAAAGCTCTAAATATTTTTTCAGTCAGAATCTGGACTAGTTTGATTCAGTGATGTTGGAGTTAAAGTTAAGTTTTGACTTTAACGTCAGAGATGTTTATCTGTGACCATTTTTCCCCCCACCGGCCGATCTTTTTCGTTTATGATTTAAGGCTGCAGGAATCTGCCGGTTTCAGACTGACACCCCTTTTTTACAGTCACATTAAGTCAGATTTTAAAATATGGCTTCTCCGGAAAATGTTGAGGAAGTGGAGATGGTATAACAAAGGCAGCAGTTCAGGAAATGAGTTAAAAGTGCCTGGATCTAATGATAAGCTTAATTTGATTATTTTTAAACCCCCTCCCCCCTCCCCACTTTAATGGACACAGGCCAATAAAGGGAGCTTGAACAATGCTGC